TTGCGCACAGCAATGTCCCACAAACAGTCGTAGATTGAAAATGACCAATTTATTATTGTTTTTTTGTTTTGGAGGATTATTATTAGGCTCTGTGTGGAGTAAGGAAACTTGCCCAAGGTTTCGCCCTGCCTGGAATTGAACTCAGATCTCTCGCTTGCAAAGCGAGAGCTCTAACCACTGAGCTACAGGACTCCACAAACTTGCATTTATATGGCGCCCTTCACACGGGATAGCGTCCCGGCACTCTTGAGCGCGCAACCCAACACACCCACAACCCAACCCAATACACCCCAACCCAATACAAGACAACACAACGTAATCCCAATGCAACACACCCCAACCCAACACATCACAACACGGCCCAACCCTTGCAACACAGTCCAGTGTAACACAACACAACACAACCCAAACCAAGACAAGACTCTGCCTTTCTCCCTCTCCCCAGAAAGAGAAAGCCCAGCTTTGAAGTCGCCCTCTCAGTCTCATGCATCTCACACCCTCGCTGGAGACTTGACACTGACTCTGTGTAAACCCATTCTGTTTTGAGCCCTGCACAGCAATCAGGAGTGTGGCGGGGGGGGGGGGTGGTTGGGGAGTGGTGGGGGGGAGGACGTGCACTGCCTTCGATGAGAGCCGGATTTGAACCCAGATGCGGGAGGTGAAGTAATAATTTTCTACCCAGGTTCCACGTGATGCACGTCTCTCCCGAATTGCTCTTGCAGAATAATAAAACGACAGCAATGTAACCAGAGTGCTTTCACCCCCGCGACCTCGCTCACAAAGCGCTGGCAATTTCACATTCAATTTTTCCCATCCTTGAGTCACAAAACGCGGAATCCATTATTTTATAATCAACAACGTTATTTCTTCGCAGGTGATAGAGTTTAAATAATCTCTGGTGATTGGAGTGTAATTAAATGTTCAGACTTGCCTGCAACATCGCTGCAGTGAATACAATTTGCCATTCAGTGGGAATCAATTCACTCGAACACAACTCATTTTTAGACAGCAGGGAAAATATTCAGGCTTGACCCGAGCTTAGTAATGGGATGTCTGCCGGACCAGAGGGCAGAAACTCTAGCAAACCCATTATTTCTGCCCTCACGGGTGTCCACCCGTCAAGACAGCATTGTCCTGTGTTGAATCCATTTGAGTTTTAGCGAAACATCACGTCCTGTTGCCAAATTAATCAAAAGGTTCTGCCCGAGCTGAAGGCCAGCCTCGGTTTGTCTTTTCTCTCAACCCTCTGCGTGGGCGGTCCGCGTGGGGGGAGTGGGGGGAAAGGTTTAGGTCACTCGCTGATTCCTATCGCTCAATTCGGAGCAGCGATTGAACGAGGAATTAATAGCCCCAATCCGGTAGCGCTTCACAATAAACCGCTCAGTGATAATCCCCACACACCGCCAGAGGGGCCGATTGCTGGCGCGGAATAAATAGAATATTGCTCAGGCTCACATTAGGCTCTTCGTCCCTCTCCCCACCCCAACCCCATCTTCCGCCAAAGTGACTGTGAATAACCCTGGAGGCCCATAGCTGTGTTGGTTAGAGCTCTTGCCTCGCAAGCAAGAGGACCTGGGTTCAGTTCCTGGACGGGGGCAAAAGCTTCGCCAAGTTTCCTTACTTCACCTCTGTTTATCCAGCAGTAAAGTAGGAACCTGGCTCTTAGTCGGTCGGCGTATCGCTTTCTAGGGGTGATAAATCACTTTAAAAAAATTGAAATTTGGTCACTCAATCGTGGGGACCCTGCTGTGTGCAATTGGCTGCCGGGTTTCGCTCGCAAAACACACAGTCACTTCACTTTAGCAATATATTCTGTGAAGCGCTTTGAGACGTCTCGAAGACATGATCAGGAGCTGCATCAAACGCACTTTTTTAGCACTTACAAGGAACGCTTTGGCTCTGCAATGGGAGACGAGGCCGGGATTCAGGAACGATGAGATCAGCGATCCCAAAGAGGGGGCTCCTTCACCTCGACCTCAGGGCCAGCGTTCAGCTGCTTCCCTCCCTAACCTTGAGGCAGTAGCTTCTCGCACGACTCAGCAAATCGGCGGCACGCCATCAGCACTTTCTTAAGTAACATTGATTTTTTTTTTACACACACAAAGTATTTTTCCAATTTCTATCATCGAGAGAGAGGGAGCGAGTCAGAGAGAGAGAGCGAGGCGCTCGGAAGTCTGCGGAACCCGGCTTCCTGCACGCCACTGTAAATATTTAATTGAGGTTTTTAAATAGCGAGGCTCAGACAACAGCAGCCCATTAAAACAGCAACCTGTCATGGTGCGTGTGTGTGTGTTCCTGCGTATGGGAAGAAATATCACACTAGTGAACAAAAAGAGCTGAGATAATAATAATAAAATAATAATAATAATAATAATAATAATAGACATGGGACTCCAGTCTGAGATGTTTCTTAAACAGATTCCTAAATAAGAAATTCCTACAGGAACCTCCCTCCCACATAGTCCACCTTTTTACGTTACTGCAAAGAGAATGCCATTTGCACCAATCGCATTATTTTATCAAGAAATCCCTCCAAAGAAACATCATACATTAGAACCCTCCACTAACTGGTCGTGGGGAGCGGTCTGCCCTTTACTCAACCTTTGCTTGTTCAGCTAGGACCACCCTACCCCTGCTTGGGCTTTGGCTTTCAGGGTTAACGGGAGCTGAGTGGGAGCTAAGCGACACTTACAAGCGAATTCGGGAAAGACTTGACGAGAGGAGATCATTGGAGTGAAGGTATCCAAGAGTTTGGGGAGGGAGCAGAGAATGGGATTAGAGTGGGGCGCTGCGATGGGAGAGCGAGTAGCAGCACAGTGACAATGGGAAGAGAGAGAAAGAAGAGAGAGAGAGAAAGTAGGGAATGGGATAAGATAGAAAGCTCCAGTTGGAGAGTGAGCAACAGCACAAACACGATGGGGAGAGAGCAGGGAACGGGAGCAGAATAGAGAACTCCAGTGGGGGAGTGAGCACCATCACAGCGGGCAATGGGACCGTGTGAGCGGGGGTGGGGGTTACCCTGGAAATGGCTGAGGGTTGGGGGAGTAGGGTCGCCGGGGGCTAGAGAGGGTGAGTATCGAGATCTCTCAGCCTCCCTTCAGCTCTGCTCTCTCAGGGACCTTGGCTGCCCGCCAGTTAATTACGGCGTGGTTGAAAGCAGTGCCTTTACTGATGAAAGCACACGTGTGTGTGTGTGGACATTGGAACAATCCCGTCACTGTACAGAGGTCTGTGGAGCACAATGGCAGAGTCTTTAACCTTCCAGCATCTGCCCATCGGTTCCAGTGACTCATCAGGGGAAGCGACTTCAGTGTATTCAGTCACCTTTCACCCACCCACCCTCCCACCAATTTAGCTCTCTCTAGACAGAAAGATATTGGGATTAGGAACCCGGTTGTTGGTCGATTGGCAGATCGCTTTCCTGGGGTAATAATCCCTTCCAAAAAAAAGATAATGCTAATAAGAAATTGGCCACTTCGATCCACCACTGTTTGTGGGACACTGCTGTGCGCAGTTGGCTGCCACGTTTCGCCCACAAAAAATATACAGTCTTTACAGTATATTCTACGAAGCGCTTTGAGACGTCTCAACGACGTGATAAAGTGCTGTATCAAATGCAAGGATTATTATTACTATGATTACTACTACTACACCTGACAATGATGAGACTGTTTACACGTAATGTTTCTCTCTTTCTCCCTTTCTCTCTCTCTCTCTCTTCCTTCCTTCTCCTGAGAATGAAACCCTCAGCGTCAAGAGCACAGATTTTAAACTGGGTTCGAGTTCCACTCACAACCTCCCACCCACCCCCCAAAAGAAACAGGGGTCTCGTCTGTGTTCAGCTGAACAAGCGGCCCTTGATATTCCGCTGTAAATCTGGGGGCTGAAGGCAGCAGAACACAGGACTGTCGCTGGCGGGTGGGTGGAAGCCGGTGATTTACTGCCCGCTAACCCAGGGCCTGAATAAACTCATTCACTGATGTTTTGGCAGCGCGGAGACCAACGGGCGCACGTTCACCCCTAGAAAATCACAGCTGATTCTAGTCCCCGGGGCCCACGCACTGAACAATTAACAATAATAATAATAATCCTTGCATTTGATACAGCGCATTATCACATCATCGAGACGTCTCAAAGCCCTTCCACAGAATACGCTGTGAAGTGCAGCAGCCGATCGCGACAAACAGTCGTGGATTGAGTGACCCACATTTTTTTTTGAAGGGATTATTACCCCCGGAAAAGCGATCCTCCAATCGACTAACAACCAGGTTCCTACTTTACTGCTGGGTAACCAGAGGCGTGCGTGTGGAGTAAGGAAACTTGCCTAAGGTTTTGCCCTGCCCGGGAATCGAACCCGGGCCCTCTCGCTTGCAAGGCGCTAACCACTGAGCTACGGGAAATGCCCCTCAGTGCGTGGCTCTGCACGCGGTCAGTGCTGTAACGTAGCCTCTCAGCCTCCCCTCCCTCAGTCTGAGTAAACCTTTAAGGTCAGAGACAAGGCTCGTAATTCTGGAGGAGAGAGAGAGAGAGAGAGAGAGAGAGATAAGAGTCAGGGAGAGGTGGAGGTTTGCAAATCAGCCGGGAGCCTCATTTGGAACAAAGGCTCTGATGGCAGTCTCTCCCTGTCACTTCTCGGAGGCTGAATATTTATTCCCCGTCTTGATGTGGCAACTTTCACATGTACACTGACAGGTCTCGCACGGAGGGGTGGGGTGGGGGGTGGGGGGGGGGGCGGGCAGCCTGGCAGAGGGCAGGAGAGGGAGCTTCACTCCGAGGGAGCTCGGAGCTAATCAGTACTGTGCGCTCGGGGTCTGCTCACAGACGTGACTGTGAGCTGAGTTCAGCCTCATGGGGGAGGGAGGGAGGGAGTGACGGAGGGAATGACGGACAACAACAACAACAACAACAGTGCCCTTCGCTCGGAGCTCCATGGTGGGTTCTCACTGTGAGCGTTTCACACTTTAAGAACAGAACCCGTGTCGCGAGCTAATAATCTCACTCTGCCACCCCCCTCCCCCTTCCTCCATCCTTAACCTTCCCCTCCCACCCCCAGCCCCTCTCGCCCGCGTCCCCCCCCCCCCCCACCCAGTAAAACAATGCCCTTGCACGTGGCCACGCTGCAGGTAGGCTGGCTGGGGCTGGGAGTAAACAGCTTGTGTTGCCGTGTTCCTGCTCTGTTGTCAGCACTGTAATTTGTGTGTCAGACGCTGACACTGACAGTAAGATGACATTAAGCGCACACCGGCTCAGGCGCTCACGTGGCAGCGTAATTAACGCTCGGCACATTTGACTGACGAGGAAATTATATGCTTTGCACAGAGCGGGAGCTGGTGCTGAAAGCTAGCGAGTGACGCTCACCATCCACAGCGCTGAGCGACGCTGCAGATCCGGGGGATGGGATGGGATGGGGCGGGTGGACTGGGGGTGGTGGGTAGGGAGGGGGGAGGCTTGTGGGTTTGAGTAAACCCTTTGAGCTCATGGGCCAGGCTGGGCCAGGCTCCAGCGCAGTGCTGGGGGTTGGCAGCGGGGAGGAAGCGCTGCTTGTAACGCTCCAAGAGGAGTCCCGTAGTGAAGTGGTTAGCGTGTGCGGTTCACAAGCCAGAGGACCCGGGTTCGATTCCCGGGCAGAACGAAACCTTAGGCAAATAGGAACCCGGTTGTTAGTCGACTGGCGGATCGCTTTCCGGGGGGCTAACAATCCACCCCCCCACCACCAAAAAAATATATAATTAATAATGTGGTCACAGGGCTGTGTGTGTTTTTTCCTCTGCCAATCTGAAGCAAAATGTGCTGATGTGAGATGCTGTCAGTTGAGAGCAGGACAGGCTGTAATGAGCGAGCAAGAGCCAGCAGATTGCAGATGATACACAGTCGGGAACCTGCTTCTGACATCGGCCCTAATGATTTGTTTACCTAATGCATTAGTGATCTACCACATGCACTGTCACCAGCCGCTTCTAACACGCTGCCTTGTCACTCTCCCCACCGCAACTGCATCGCAGCTCGCGAAATACGCAGTCACTCCACTTTGCGGTACATCCTGCAAAGCGCTTTGAGACGTCTCGACGACGTATCAAACGCGAGGATTATTATTGTTGCGGTTAGCGCAATTATACAGCGGATGGTGTGTGTTGGTGTTCGTGCTGTGGATCAGGCTCTGAGCTCACAGTCCAGGCTGATGCTCCAGCATAGATAGAGGTAAGAGGTCAGAGCGTCGCATTATCAGACGCATCGACCTTCGACTGGGACGTTAAACCTCGCTCTCCATCTGGGCCCTGTTTGGAGCAGACCCCATTAAAGATCCCGTGGGGCTGTTGGGGGAATTGCCAGCCGACAATCCACCCCCCCGCTCCCCTCCCCTTCCCCCAGATAATCCCAACGCTGTTTAATGCGAGGATTATTCTTATTATTACGATATATTAATATAAACACAGAAGTGGCTGGCCGTCACTCACTGACTCACTGACTCACTCACTCACGCCTGTAGAGTTTAATGCTTTAATTATTGTTTAGTTTAAAACAAGCAAAATCGCAATAAGCTGGAAAAAAAATTCAATTTCATAATCAAAATGGAAGAAAATATCTGCAAGTGACTGAGATTTTATTCTGTCTGACACTCAGACAGCGGTGGGTGGTGGTGGGGGTGAGGGGGGGGTGGTGCGAGGGGGGTGATTGTGTAGGAACGATCTGCATCGTGCGTCTTACACCTCACCCAAAGCCTTTTGTGTTGTTGCGAACTCTGCGGCTGTTAACTACCAAAACCCACGTTCTTTTCAATGCAAAAGCCGCTGCCTTCAATTCAACAATGAAACGGTGTCAGTCAGGTTGTGGCTTCACATAGTCAGGTCTCTCCCTCCCCTCTCACTCCATGCGCAGCGCTGGGGGGGTGGGGGGAGCGGGGGAAAGGGGCGAGTGTGTGTGGTGGCATTGTCTGAGGCGCTGTTGTTCGGATGGGACTTTAAACCGGTCTGTTGTCCGATTCCAGGAGGATGTTATAATAATAATAATAATCTTTGCGTTTGATACAGCGCCTCATCACGCCTTTGAGACGTCTCAAAG